GTCCTTGCTCCTAGTAGCGATGCCAGGAGCCCGTAGGAGCTTCTTGCTCCTAGTAGTAAGGCCAGGAGCGCCCCTAGTAGCCTCCTTGCTCCTAGTAGCGATGCCAGGAGCCCCTAGGAGCTTCTTGCTCCTAGTAGTAAGGCCAGGAGCCCCTAGTAGCGTCCTTGCTCCTGTCTTCCATTCCAATGCAGATTTGCATGTTCTGCCATGGCCTGCGTCAAGTTGAAGCCGCTGACAACCTTAAAAGCACATGGCAGGAGTGCTGCAACGTACAGATAAAACATGGCAAGCCAATAGAACAAGATGGTGCAAATGAAGGTGTGCCAGATGTGTAGTTTAAACTTAGGTGATTATTCAAGAGTTGACTCAAAATCTGTGTTGGATCGTTGTTGGTTTATTCCGTGTCTTGTACTCCAAGCTCAGCCGCAGGCATTTTCAACGACGCCTTCTTGTAGCAGTAGCTTCGCGAAGACTTCCCAAGAGACCAACTGGGCTCATCACCGACATTAATTTCCATCACAAGAGGATACGATATACGGTACTATACTATATACTAGGCACCGAGTAGCAAATAGTACTGAAATCAAAGCAACCAAACATACTGAAATCATCATTCTTTGGGCGATTCAAACTGTGAGATCTGCATGTCCATGAGATTCCTGAGAACCACCGTCGACAATGTCGCCAAGCTCCATCTTACAACTCACCAAACAGTATGATGGGACCTATGGGTGAAATTCGATGGTTGTTCTTGCTCCTAGTAGCGTCCTTGCTCCTAGTAGCGTCCTTGCTCCTAGTAGCGATGCCCTTTGTTTCTAGCAGCGTCCTTGTTCCTAGTAGTAAGGCCAGGAGCTACTAGTAGCTTCTTGCTCCTAGTAGCGATGCTTGTATGAACTCTGTTTCAACCCTTGTCAACTTGTGAACTCACTGTCCGTCAATGCGTTGAGGTCCGGTGGGCACAAATCAGAACAGGTTTGCTCCCGTTGGCTCCTCCGCACCTTCTGTGCCTCATCCTCAATTTGGGCCTCTGTCATAAAGGCTGGATTCGCAGCATCCTCCTGTTGCGAGAGTAAAGGCCAATCGCCCAGGATCGTGCCCCATGTGTTTGATTGGATTACCTTGCCAAAGGAAGTCATCCAATCTGTAGCGACAGGCTACCCACATTCTGATTCTGTCTTTGCCGAGACATGTGGTTGACATATCAACATCATAAATTAAAAGCGCCAACAAACTGTCAGCTAGCCGCATGTCCTTTCATGTCCTTTCGATTCTCACTCAACGAACACATGACCCAGCTATTCTAATTGTACACATTCACAACTGACTCCATCAATTGCCCATGTTTGAATCTGAATAGTACACCTGAGCATTCATGCTTGTCTTCAGAGTCCTGCGTCGTCTCTTTGATTTCCTTTTCCTCCTCCTCTTCTCCTTTCACACCTGTTCCAGAGCGTCAAATTAAGAAAAGGACGCTCTCCGGTCAAGCAAAGGAGCCAAGTTCCTGATCAAACTGATGTTAGACCTCTACATGCGCATGAGTCACGAGATTCAGCTTTCAAGAAGTTTGAGAATTGAGAAACCCTTCAGAAAAGTGTAAGGAGTTGCCTTGTCCAATCCTTTCGTGCACGAGCTGCAGTGCGGCCTAGGTCCAAATCAAATGCAGCATGAGTGCCAACCACACAGTTGAACTCATTTGAGAGGTCATAAGTGCTTGGGCTTCCAAAGATTCCGCTTGCATAACTGGTTTGATTGGGCATGCAAAATGTGACAATTGCCACCAACAGGGTCAAGCCAAATACAACTATATATATATAAGTAATCTAAAATATATACATATATTTTTTTTGCGGCATCAGGCCCAGTTGGGAGAACTAAGCCTCTTGCAACAACCTGCTCCTCACCACCTTCCATGCTCCTCACATTTGGCAGGAGCAAATCCACAAAGTCCTGCCATGTCACACATCACCGATGACACCAAAAGCGATGGGAACCTTTCCGAGGGGTAAAAAGGTCTACTGCCCGCATAGGAGTCAGACTTCGACGGCAGATTCAGCGCCTTCAGGCGCTGAATCCACTCGACTCGCATTGGATCACGTTTGCCTTGGCCCTTGGGGCCCTTGGCCTTGTGATGTCGAGCGTGGTTTGCCAAGTTGGACCAGGACATCGACTCTCACAGCATCTGTTCAAATTGCACACTCCGTTCAACTGTAGTGCGACTTGGCATACGTCCAGTCTTGCTAAAGCGAGGGGAAACCCGCCGACCAGGGTTTGGACCGCGCCCGGCGCTTGCGATGCATGTGCAGAGCATTGCAGCCATGGTTTCTGCTTCGGAGTTGTTTGTGTTTTTTTTGTGGTTTTGTACCTGAAATAAATCGTGAAGTCCTTGTTCCACGTTGCATTTTGTGCTATAAATGGAGAGGAGTCATCAAATACTACTTTTGGGGCTCATGAATGGAGCTGCGTGGTCCATGGTTGCAGATCGAATGAATTGCTTTGTATTGTGAGTCCAGAAAGTAACGTTGTTAGACCCAGCTAAGGGGGTCCACTTGGTCTTGGAGTTCCAATGAACTTGATTGGCCTCCTAGAAAGTGTTGCAGCTTTGACCCATGGAGAACAACAAGGACAACCAATGATCCCTCAACTTCAAGGTGGACTCGAAGGAGCATGGTGCACTGCAACTTCGTAAAGGTGATGCAGGAGATCCTCAACAGCAGTTCAACAGGTGTGCAACCAGAGAAGAAGCAGCTGACCATGTCATCACGGATCAGGAAAAGCAGCATGTCAGTGGAGGACCTGGGACACCTGTCACCTATGCTCCTGGAGATCTTGGTGGTCGTGTTTGTTGTGGTGAACAGCATAGGTGTGGTTCTGGTGTTGATGGGGAAGCTGAACAACGTCATCCCAGCGAACCAGCACATGAAACTACAAGCTGGATTGATGAAATGCTTGAACTTCAAGCTGGAAATGCACCAATCCTGCAGATCGAAGGTGAGTACAGGGTCCATAGCTGCAGGTCAAATGTGAGGAGCTGTTTTTGCTGGTGAAGACCCAGGCAACGTTAAACCCAGGAAGGTGGGTCCATTTTTGTCGGTGTTCGACTTAAAGTTGATGGTGAAATTCCCGTTCGAAGCCTTTGCAAAGCATGCGCAAATGGGTGACTGAATGTGTAAAAGCCCGAATCTGCTAATCTTGCCTTCGAAGAAGGTTTTCTGACATCTTTTTGTGACTGCCACCGACAAGAAGGACATCCAGATGTGGCCTTGCTTGTGAGAGCATTGTCCATCTTCATGAAGACTTCCTTTACCTGTGTCAACTTCTCCTGGACAGTTGGAACATGTTGGAAACAAATGGTCGCACCGGAGCATCATGGACCACTAGTCGCCAGAGGGTGGACATCAAAGCTATTTCGGTGAGAAAGCTTCGGATCAAGAGTTTGAAGCCCCGTCCGTGTCGATCTTGTGAAGGACCCGAGAAATGAGATTCTGTTCTCTCGAGCCTACAGGTCAAACATGGTCAAACACACACAGTTCCACAGCAAATGCATCGAATGAAAATGAATGAAGGAACATTGATTGAAATCAACAAGAATACAGCCCGTAGGCTTCGGCTAGCTTCGGCCCAAATACTATGAAGGCAGCAGCTTTTCCCATGCATGTTTGTTTGTAACGGCATATTACGCGCTGCTTTGTCAAATTCGTTCAAGACCAGAAGTGTCATGGGGCTGCAAACATTTTGCCGTTAGCCGTTAGCAGTCCTTGAAGCTTTGTTTCACATGATATCATTAGAAATATGTTCAGAGGGAATTGTCCAGCTCTGACTGGCCCCGGAAATAAAGAGTGTTGCCTGTGGCATTATTCTGCCAAAATCTGCCCAACCCTCACAGGCTCGTGGTCCGTGATCAACTAGTGTCCACTGATCAAAACCGAACAAGCACTGAAATTGATGGCACTTACAAAAGCCTGCTGGGAAACAAAGGAGCCAGGGCTTGCTAAGACATTGGCTTGCGTGCGTCTCCTTGGCCAGCACCAGCCTAAGACTGCCGGAATGTGTTGGGATGGAGAATAAGCTGCCGTTGCAGCAAGGTCCTTGTCGGTAGTCGAAGAGATTACTAGTGCTCTGAGTCGTTCATTGTCGACAGATTCATTGTGACAGGTTCAATTGACAAACTCGCCGTAGTAGGTGTCCTGCCCATCTGCTCCACCTGAGAGTAGCAGTGTTTCAAGCACGTCACTTACAAATGAGTACTCAGTACATCTCAATACTTCAGTACATCTCTTCTCTGGGCAGTGGATATTTCGAAGAACTCACCGGAACAACCGGAACGCTGTCGTTTTCGCCTGGAACGTGCCCGGGTCTTTGCTCAGCACGTCCACGAGACTCAGTATATACGCCCCACAGAGACTCAAGGAAAATCCGTCCCGTGCCATGGAAAACACCAAAGAAAGGATCAATATGTTTTTTGGGAATGCTTTTGCCAGCAAAATCCTCAAAGAATCTGTACAAGTCATAGCTCTTGGTTGCTCTTTCTCCTACTGCAACAACTTTGTCAGATGAGAACCACTGGGGAAACGTACGCGACTCTGTGGGAAGAGAGGATGTTCTCCGTCTTCATCGCGCTCGGTGAGTGTGTGACCTTGCGAAAGAGGATGCGTCTCTGGCAACAATGGAGCTACACAAACACGTAGAATCATGTGGAATTGTTTATGAATTTATAGTAAATTATATATTTGATCCAGACATGCTCATCATTATGAGCGAAGTCACTTCCTTGTCATCAATGCAGCTCTCTATCTTGAGGGAAGGACTTTGTGTGTACCGCTCCAACAGTGCCTCAGCCACAAAGCATCCGGTTCTTGAATTTACTGTACATCCACAGACTAAAGTGCATCAACAGCTTGGCCGTACTGCCCACGCGTGCAAGTTAGGCTGCTGGTTGCTTGGATTCTAAATGGATAGAGACTCCAACAATTTGAATGATGCACGATGCTTCTGTGTACGACTGTATGTGGCATTGCAACAAGCAATGAGGATTGCAGGCACAGCATGGCTGCAAGGGTTGTTTGGGAGGTTGCTCAGTTCTCAGCTCTCGCGCCTTTTTGTGGTGATGTGAATTAAAATGAGTTTGATGGATGATACAAGGTGATACATGGTGATACGGTGGTGAATGACAATCAAACTCCAGCAAATGTCACAAACGGGAAATGGTGGGTAGCATGGTCCGAGTCCCTTCTGACGAAAGCTTGCACTGTCCGTCCAAGTAGTTTGGCAGCTCCAGAGCAAGGACATGTGCGGTAGGTCGTGCGAGTCGGGCAGTTTTGTAGTGATACAAAATACGTCAAAATACTGCAGTTGAGATCAAGCTATGAAGTCGCACAACATGAATTAGGACATCATTGATGGACATGGCAAGGTAAATCAAGCACAGCCAGCAGCAACCTGGGTCTGTCCTCCCAGTGAAGTCTCCGTCAAAGCAACGATTGGACCATGAGCTGCACAAGCTGGCAGAAGCTATCTTTGGTCATTCTTTGGTCGACAAGTACTCATTGGTCATTCATGGCTGATCAAAGAAGGCAAAACTGATGTGCAGCTGTCTCTTTCGCTCTGGTGGAAGCTTGCCCGAACTTTCAGGCCGGACCAGCCTCCATCCCTTCATGACAGGATTACTGTTTCTTTGAACTCATTTCAGACGCAGAAATCTGCATGATGTCCTTATAATATATAGTTTGTAATTGCACCTTCATGCTTTGGCAATGCATTTCAGAAATCAGAGGGGCTCTCTCTCTCTCTCTCTCTCTTCAGTCCAACTACAATCGGCGACACAGAAGAGTTGGGAATCCTCAACGTTGAGACCCTCAGCCAATCACCCGCATTGTCGGGTTGTGCGGTGCAGGGGCCAAGGTCCCTCTCGCCTCAGCTTTTGCAAATTTGCCAATTGGATCTGCAGAAAGGTCAAGACGGGTCAAGTCAAGATACAACTTCCTTGAATCTACCATTGCTGATCACTAGTGTATTCCGGCAAAGCGGCCCCCCTTTCAATCTACAGGCTAGACCGTCGTTGACCAGAGCTGGAATGTGTCTCCACATGTCTCCACACTTTTCCTCACGCTGGAGATCTTCTCAGCGGTGAAACAACCTAAAGCTCCTTAATCGTCCTCAGCATCCAAGGACTGCAGCTCCAACAGCCCCGCATTGAGGCCCGTCCGCGAACCCACGGTGGCACCCGAGAGGATGTCGGCCACATCCTGGTGCACAACAGCAGGTACCGCAACAAGTGTGAACGAATGCTTTCAACTCTTCATCCACGAGTCGAAACCGAGTTTCCAAGTGTCCAATCCTTTGCCGCATCACCCCATCAAATCAATTAAAGTCACAGTTGAAATTACTGCTCTCGAAGCAGAAACTCGGACATCCTGAAGCTGCAAGATCTGCTTCCGCCGCTCATCTGTCAACTTCTCATAGGTTGCTAGCAAGCTGGTGCAATCACTGCCCAGCTTTGACAGAGCATCTTCAGTGGCGGACAGAGACGCCGTCTTCAGCTCGGCATCCGCCTCGGTCAAAGTGCCAAGGATTCTAGAAGGACTTAAACAAATTGCAGCTTAGATGGTTCGGCATGTCGATATTGATATTGTGGAAAAATAGTTTCAAACTGGGTGAATTAGATGAATGGAGCTGACCACTTGTATTAGAAGCTAGAGCGGGCCCACCTTCACTTGACTCAACTCCTGCGCATCACGGGCTTTCTCCTGCAAAGCAAAGATGACAAATCATAAAGAAGCTGCAAAATGGCAACATGTCGAGTGAGTGGGTCCTGCAGAAGCTTGGAGACATGCTCAAGTTTCTTGTCGAAGAGGGACTTTGTGTCGCTTCGCACCTGTCATCATCTGGATTGACAAGTACCAAGAAGAAATGCATGTTTTTGCTTACTGGACCAGCATCTAGCATCTGGCCTTGTCAAGCTCCTCCGCAGAAGCCTGCTCCGCTTGGTCTGCATCAGCCTGTTCCTTCTTAAAGTCTGAAACGATGGTGTCGAGCATCGCAATCACACTGGAGCCAAGACCACCGTTCCTGGAGCGTCCCAACCTCCACGTTTCTTTGGGCTCAGCCTTTTGCTCAAAAAGAGATGTGGGGTCATTGGATTTGTAGAAGCCTTCCACAATGGATTTCGCCTTCTGCACGACTTTGATCGTGAGGCCACGATCTCTTGTGGATGCTCGGTAGGATTCCTGCTCCTTTGATCGAGCCTGCCAAAAGTAGGAGTCCAAGTCCCTCCAGCATTGTATGATGCTTTGCAAAATTCTTCAACATTCAACAACCAAGAACTCAAGAGCATTAGCAACCTTGCCTTATGACTCCTTACATCTTACACTCTTACACTTACACCATCTTAGCCAGTTCATTCAGTGTCAGTGTGGCCTCCTCAAATTGTGTCAAGCGCTCCGTAAAGGTCGCTGCTTCTTTCTTCAATGTGTCCACCTCTTTGCTCAGGCTCATGGTCTCTGAGCTCAAATAGTCTTCTCGAGCCTGGCGTCGGTGCGAGGGGATGGGGCGAAGTTGCGGAATCGACCGATCCAACAGGAGAGGAATCGGAAGTGATCCCGAGTCCGACTGCAAACCCCCCAGAGTGGCTTGGTCGCTGAAAACACAACAGAATACCCAGACCGAGTGGACGTGAATGAATTCAATCAGCGCCGAGCTCAGGGTGGAGGTTTGCTTCGTGGATTCTGCCGGAAAGATTGACAAATGTCCCGCATGCGTGTGATCGTTCTTTTTATCCACACAGGTCTGATCTGACAGCAGCGCGCTATCGCGCTGAACTTTGAGCAGTCAGTAGTTGCAAATAACATGCATCTCACCCTGCAAGTCCCACACCACACAGGATGGGCTAGTGCCACAGCAACAGCCTAAACACCTGACGTGCAATTTTTTTCGTTGCTTCAATCTGTAGAATGCTTCCAGGTCTTTGAGCAGTTCTACATCAAGTTGGTCAATGATCTCATCGTTCTGGCGATATAAATGTTCCAGATCAAGTCCCCACAGCTCCTCCACACCATCAGGATCACCTTCACGCATCAGCCGATCAATGTCATACTGATCAAAATTTCTCACATTCCTCTTGAGTTCTTCTCGAATCTTCTTGCCCTCGTCACGGACAGCTGTAAAATCCAAGATTTCAGCGTCGAGATGCAAGTCCGAAAGCTTTTCTGTGTCATGTACCTCCCTATCACCCAGAATCAAAACCATCTCATGTTCAAAGTCCGGAGTTGCAAAGGCAAACTGCGCACGAAGATCTGACACCGTGATGTCGCTGGGAACAGAAACTGAAACACTTCTTCCGGCTAAGCCCACTTGCAAGCACACTTTCAAACATGAAGCTTTGCCTCTTTTTGCCGCAGGTTCAATTGAAAGCTGGTCATTGAGGTCTGACTCTGCCATCTTGGCTTCGTCAGTGAAGGTGGGAGATGTGGTTGAACACACGTAGAAAATATTGACTATTGCTGATCTCTGTGAGCAAACAGCGGTTTCACGAGTTGTTCTTCACACTAGATATCGTTCTCAATAGAATTTCGCTTGAAGTCTTGGTCACTTGGTCACAGCGTTGTCTCAATCTGAGTGTTGCTCGACTCTTCGCCCGTAACCGTTTTGGGCCGAAAGGATCGAGGGACCCGAGGGAGGTCATCACTGGTCTAGAAATAAATTAATAGTTTCTTGTTACTACTAGTAAGGCACCTGTTACTAGTAGCGTGGCACTT